TACTGCATCCTAAATGGGACACCAGTCTATCACTGGTTACACAAATTAAAGACACCAATTAACCTTCCTATCATGTCTCTGGAAGGTGGGAGAAATCTGGAGCATCAAGAGAAAATCCACACAACCATGGGGACACTATACCATGTAATCTTCAGACAGAAGTCCACAATCAGATCCGATATCCAAGAGCTGTCACAGGACTATGATGGCCTCACTTGTTTTTGCTACTGAGCTCAGGGTGTGGCAAATGGGACCTTGAAAAACAATGAGAGGGCAATTTCCCCTCTTATTTACATGAAACTTTTCTCATGAAAAGGAATGGATTAACACTTCTCTTTTAGCTAGAGGAATGCAGGTAATATGTGAGAGCTACGTTAGAAATTCCTTACTGTAGAGGAGATTTTCAGTGCATGTGAACCCCTAGGAAGGATAGTGTATATATATATATGTGTCGTTACAAGTTAAGTATGTGGTGCTGACTAAAATATCACCAGTGATGTTTGTTTTTGTGCTCATGCAAAGGTTTACAGACAAGGTCAAGCATCCAGAGCTGGTTGTCATGACAGTGGTCTGAGTAAAATGAGATTCAAACTGCCTGTCAATAAACTTTTAACCAGTCTTAAGTGAAGATATTTTTTAAAGTGGAGTGACACTTCATGACACTTGGACATGAAAAGCAAGACGTTTTAGGACGAGCAAGGAAATAAGCAAGACTGATACAAGGAAAAATGCATAAACCATTAAGAATACACATCCACTAGCATTAAAATAATAATACCACACTACTATTACACTTCAATAATAGAGTATGTAAATTTTAGAGAGACATTTCTTTTATTAAAGAAAACACAATATGTTCCACAGAATTACTTACTTAAAAAGTCACTCTGAGAGAACAAAAGGAAAATGAAGTGTCATGTAAGGTATATTAGAACAAACAAAATAAAATCAGAAACGCTTTATCATTCAAACATTTAGTGGAATTTGACTGTATGAAATATGTACACAGTTAACACAATTTATACCAGCTCACTATTATATATCATATAGCTACCCAATATCAGTCTAAGAAACACTTCACGAAAAAAAACATCCATACATTTTCTAACTGCTTTATTTAACCTGGTAAGCAATGGGTACAAGCCCTGGATGGGACGCCAGTCCACTGCACAGACAGAAACACACACACCAGGGCCAATTTTACAGAAGCTAATTAACCTACCAGTATGTCTTTGGATTATGAGAGGAAACTCCGCGAGCACCTGGAAGAAACCCACATGAACACGAGGAGAACATATAAACTCCACGCAGATAGCCCCCCGGGAACTGAACACAGGGTTCTAGTGCTGTGCTGTGAGGCAACAATTCTAACCTATATGCTGCCCTTCATGAAGAAACCATCCAAAACAAATCTCTTCAGGTCTACTGCAGCATGCAGGGATATTTGAGGTCATTCAAAATCTGCAAGATGTCAACATTTTGTTGAAGAGGGGTGCTCTGAGACATGCATCGAAATGATACCGCTTATTTTCTTATGTTGTGATAACACAATGTAACTAAGGAACAAGTAATAGGTTTATTCCATGCTGAAAAGAGAAGAAAGGAAACACAAGGAATAAACCTATTACTTGTTCCACTGCAGCCTACGCATGCTGACGCAGATATTCACCTGAACCACAATGTAACTAGGAGAGCTCAAGTGCCAACCAGGTTTCACTGATATTCCACTTCTGAAATTGGGAGGTCAATAATGGCGGTGTCCATTGTAGAGGTCGGTAATCCCATGCTGACTAGACCACTGAGACACAAATGGGGCCCCTTTGGTTGAAGAAGGAATTCCACAATTGAGCCAATTGGAGCTCATTCAGCCTTTAGTGGAAATAACACTTTACATCTGTCCTACTTTCTGGTTATTTAAAAAGTGGTTGATTTAGTGAATGCAGCTTAGTCTGAAGAGAAACATGCAGTAAAAATGTTAGCTTCCATCTTTCAAAAGCTCATTCTTTTTAATCAATCAATTTTATAAGGTTATTTCATTGTGTGGTCATCTTTATTTTAGTGCCTGGGTTCGATACCTAGATTTCCAGGCTTCAGGGCACACAATACTACACAAAGGAACAAGTAATAGGTTTATTCCATGCTGAAAAAAAAGAAGAAAGAGAACACAACGCCGAAACGTCTTCTTTTTTTTCAGCATGGAATAAACCTATTACTTGTTCCTTTGCAGCCTACGCATGCTGACGCAGCTACCCACCTCCAATACTACACAATATGACACTAATACACAATAGACTGATGTGCAATTATCATATTAATATAGCAATTAAAGTAGGCCTGCATTGTTTTTTTAAAGCTATAAATATATGTTAATCAAATTCACATTCATGAAAAACCTATTTTTATTGTGGAAAGATATTATAATGGATTAAATCTTTAAAAATTATCCAATAAAATGAGTAGAATGTAAATTTCAAACTAAATTCAAACACTATTTTGTGAAGAAACAAAATGTGAAGTTATCCAGCAATACAGTGTACGTGTCTGTTACATGTGTATTAAATAATTTATTTTTGTTTTTTGTCTCTTCGAATAGAATGTGCTCTACACGACAACAGCACATTATGGTTCAGAGCAGATCCACCAACCTGTTGAAGCTAGGATTAAGCAATCTTGTTACTCCTGTGGAGCCAGGACAATGTCCTGCATGTTAGAGGTAAGAACTACATCGCCTCTCAACAGTAAATAATCTATTGTATTTTTTTAGGGAATTGTACTTTTTAATTCAACAGAAATATAATTCAACAAAGACTTTTAAAAAACACTAGACTTGAATTGATACAAAAACAGCTTGCTCTGGTACAAAGGCATACTGTATATACAATTAATAGCTACAATTAAAGCTAAGAAACTAACCAAAATAATTATTATTGGCAGCAGAACAGTAGAAGAAAAAAACCAACCTTACATACATTTCATTTTCTAAAACTCCCAGTCACAGAAACATTCACAACATGCATTTTGCTAATGCTGAAACATTCTCGGTCTACCATTCCATTTGATTACCTCATATTATGATAAAGAAATGAGAGTACAAATATTTTTTAGAAAAATTCTGGTAGACCTTCATTTGCCTTGCCTACAGTTGCCTTGGTGAATTCATAAATGTTGTTATAAAGGTCTGCTGTGAAACTAGTTAAATGATTTAATTACAGGAAAATGGCACTGTGCACTTATCCTGACCAAACGTAAAATTATTCAAGAACGTATATTTATTTTACACTACTTTTTTTGGACAGTGAATGAGTAGACACAGTCTACTCATGTGAATACAGTGAACAATGTTGCCAAATCATATATTTCTAAAAAATCCTTTGAAAATGTGATATTAGCTGCTTACTCTTCTACTTGTTAAGAAATGGCCTGTAGAATTTTGATAAATCAAGACCAAAATAAAACATTTTACTTCTAAAATCTAAAAAATCATGCAGTTTGGTGTTTTTTATGTTTCCAAACTTTCAGTTAAATCTGCCAAATGTGTAAATTTCAGTTATGCTTTGGTCAGTGTTTAACTGAATTGCAATACTGAATTTTTCAAACAAAAACAATACTATTATTTCATGCTACCTGGGCAACTCCTCCCTCTGTATAGAAATTTATTCTGCTTTTGAATGCTATACAATATTTTTAACCAAGTGTTTAAACACAATTCTTTAACCATCTTAAGATACAATTTGGCATTATCTGTATACAAACATTTAAAATACAGAAAGACATTACATCTTACGAAAACGACCATTCAGTCAGCAAATGCAATATTAAACCTTGCCAGAAGTTAATAACAAAGTCCATTCTATTATCAGAAATGTATTTTATACCACTTTTCAGGGTAATGAACTCTTGCCCAAGGCAAAGACTATCTTAAGTGTTATCTTATGGAATTTGACACATTATCCACGTAAGACCTGTGTCTTGTACATTTCTGTCAGTCTACAGTACATACAATTTTGAAAAGCCATAAGAACCAAAGGCGAGTTCTGCAAAGCATTTAAAGGGACTAGTCAAGTTCAACAGAATATATAGCACAGAAATACTTTCAGTGAATGCATTGAGTGTGCGTTAAGCTATTTATGTAGTGTGTAAGCAACTTTTAATACAAATTAGTATTTATATGTTAATCAAAGTACAAGTATCTTCTGTGTTTTCATTTTAAATGGAGACTAGCACTTAAGATAAAGGTCATTCATACTTGAATGTTTTCTAAAATTTATTAATAATGGCATTTTTATTTAAAATTAGATGATATCCATAACGGCAGCTCTCAGGAACTTTACAAAACTGCATTACTTCTATAGTTTTGATCTGGTGTGCATATGCAATCAAAGCATTATAAGTGAGCTAATTAGGTAATTTAAAATGGAAGTAAGGACAAGTACACTATGTTATCTTACCTGGAAAAAATAACAGAGTAGAATTTTAAAAAATATATGATCCAAAACATATTTCCAAGCAACATGATAGAAATGTGAAAGTCACAGTAATCATGGTATATCTAAAAGGAACTTAAAAACACTTTCACTTTGCATAAAGTGAAAGTGTTTTGTTAAAGTAAAGACAAAGTACATTTTGTAATGATGCAACAAACTTTGCAATCCAACATGTATTATTCACTTACCATCCAATTGAAATGATTACAAAAATGTGAATGTGTATAACAACAGATAACTCAATCATACCGTCCTATTATGATATTGTTGAGTTGAAATATGAATGAAAAACAATATGAAATATGATTCATATTAATTTATATGCATATTTTCATTTTATTTTATTAAAAATAAATAACAAAGCACAACGGCAGAGAACAGTGGGATTTCACAGAGTTTTGTGTGTAGCTTGGGGAAGTTAAAATGATGCTGAAAGCCAGACTGCATTTCAGTTTTTGAGAGTCAGAGGTGTTATGGAAATATGGAAGCATGGGAAAGCTCTTGCTAATAACTCACAGGGTCAGCAGGCCCGCAGAATTCTCGAAATGTCCTTGGTGCCTCTGTTCCACGGATTTCTAATGCCATACAAGGTCCCGAGCACAGCTCAGCTACCATACTCTGTCGGAAAGCAAACAAAAGAAAACAGAGTTTTTGTGAAGTACACAGAGCATAACAATAAAAGGGCCTTTTGTTTATGGAAAGCAGCCGACAGACATGCAGTGAGCGGCTCAGCAACTTTAAGAGGCTCAGGTTTCGAGGCAAAAACCCCCCAACAATTGTATCCATTATACCCTACCATTATAGTTATTTTTTTCTCAGAATGGCAATTTAAATGCTATGAAATTTGGCTTTTGCTAGTTATCTGAGATTACAAGGATTGTGTGTAAGATTATGGTAGAGTGTACTTTTACAAATTTAATGTATAGTAAAAGTTTTGTGTGGGTAGCTTAGCGCCTTAGGCCACACAAAGTTACTCTCACACATTGTTCCATTTGTCGCACTGGGGTGGGAGATCCCAGTAGTTGCCTGATATATTAACGGGTTCTATATGTGTATAAGTAGAAAACAGTACATTTTAGAAAGCCATTACAAACTAACCTACAGAATTCTACATTTATTGTAATACTTTAACATCTGATTTAAGGTGTACAGCTACATATTTAATCAGTTATTCTTACAATAGACAGTAAGTAATAAAGCTACAATAAATTTGGCCTGATTTTGAATAAAGCAGTTTAGACAGAATCCCAATGTAATTTCAAAACTGTTAAAAAACATGAATTGCTGTTTTTTAAATAAACATTTTCTTTCTTTGTCCACCTGCTGCAGAGCTCTATAATGAACATTCCTGTTTTACTTTTAAAGGGACTGTCAGATGACAAAAAATTATATTGATCTGAAAGGAAACCTTTATTCTCTCATAGAAAACAGAAAAAACTCAGACATTTGCAGGATATTGAATTTTAAATACCAATAAACTAGGTCAACAGGGTTGTTGTAATGAGCTTTAGTCTTGTGATTATTAGACATGATGACTGTACATAGGTTTCATCTCCATACAGGGCAGAACAGAAACTTGCTGAGAGATGCAGAAGGTAACAGGAAATACTCTTGGCAGGTAATTAGAGGAGAATGCTTCTTGTGTAACTGACTCAATAATAGACTGTTTTGTAAAGAATAGAGCTGTGGACTAGCTCAATGTCCTTGCTAATTTTAAACAAATACTAACAGCCCTGGTACTGACTGACTTCAGGTGGAGAACAAATTCCCAGGGCCACTGTTAAGACAGATCAAAACATGATCATTTTTGGCAAATCAATCTGAAAAAATACAGTACCTTACCAGTGTTGTTCACGTGCTCCTGAGCCGTTTATTATGCAATGAATAAAAGTGCTGAAAACGTTGCATGTTCTATAATATGGCATAATAGTTGCAATGTAAAAAAAAGAACAGAAACTGGAAACAGTTATGGATCTGTTTGCATATACAGTAGAAATTACTACAGTGGCGTGAGAAAAATCAGGAACCCAGAACTTATACTTAAAACAGCAAGAACCATGTAAACACTGTATAAACGGTGCAGTTGTATGTTTTCTGGGTCTCTGCTGCATTAGTGCAGCTAAATGAACCCATCTTTGTTGCCAAGCCAGAAACAGACAGTAATGAGTTTCAGGAGAAGAGAGTGAGAGCTTAGCCCTTGCAACAGAAAGCACTGTATAACACAGCATTTAATTCACAGTGAAGGGTCTAAGGACAAGCAACCTTGCAGATAGGTGACTTTCAGCTTACAGGGAGATTTGATATTAATGAGTTCCTTGACCAGGTCCCAAAAGCAAAAATAATACTATTAAAATACAAATATTCAAGGCACCTTAAATGTCAAATGAAGACACCTTCAGAATACAAAAAAAAAAATGTTAAGGAATGTGTTGCTTTGAAAAGGGTCTTCTTATCTAATCAAAGCAGAAGTCCTGAAAGGGAAGCTGTATTAGGATTCCCTTAGGCTGCAGTGCCAGCAAGGTCAAGTGTTCTTAAGAAGTCTAAATATAAAGTAGTCACAAAACATTGTCCTCCTACAAGGAATTGCTTATTTTTAGTTTGTTCCTTAATGTTTACAATCACTGTTTAGTTCATAAATGAGATATATACATATACAGTATACAATATTCATAGATAAAAAGTATATATAGGATATGACTTTTAAAACTATTTGCTCTGAATATGTTTTTGTGTACTACAACCACTCTCGTTTTTTTAGATCTGTCCAATGTATTTGGTCTTTCAATAATCCTTTAAAAAGCAGCACATTTTACCTTAGAAGAAGAAAAAAAACATCCTGATGTTCAGAAGTACAGAGGTAAAATATAATCATAATTCATAATTAGTAATGAACTGTATCATCTGAAACACATCACTTCAGTTATCTTCATGGTATTTGTTATTACTAGTTTTTTGCACTGTTTAGTCAAAGGTTAAGGAATTAAATGCTACATAATACCTGTTACCAAAAGTGCCTTAAGAGCCTCAGTAACCTAAATCAATTGATGGTATATATACAAAAAAACAGTTTAAACTTTTTCCATCATTTGTGTATAACAGACTTTTCAACAGTGCATTATAGATTATAAAGATGTTGCTTGGGATGTATGGGTTACTACCACAGATAAAGGAAAAAAATGAAGTACAGCACAAATTTGAAAATGCTGTCCCTGCTATTCACTCTTCCCCTTGTTGAGAAACAGTCTAGAAACGTTTTAATAGATCAAGATCAAAACAACATTTATTTTATTTTGTTAAGGACTATAATTAGGATGAACCTAATGATATATAACATGTTGCAAAACAGTTTAAGACATCAAACAGTTGTGTTCTTCTAAATGGGTATTCCTGTGTAGATCAAGTGAGGTTACACCTTACTATCAGTGAAAGTAACTGAAATCTTGTAGCACAGAAAGCTAAAGGTATCATTTATGTTCGGTAGCCTTTGAAGTAATACAATGGGGAGGAGATCTAACTAACATGCTATCAAAGCTGCTCAATAACTAAAATGTTTACTACCTTTCTTAATGATAGCATGGAACCTGCACAAGCGTGATTAAAGTATATTGCAGATCATAGTATCTGGGTTCACACAACCTACTTTAAACTCCAATTGTGTTACATCATTCCTACATTAGTTTCCTTGGTTTTGTATATTGTACACACTTAAAATAATGAGTGTTATCTCACTTTGTTATATTTTTAAGTTAACATAGTATTAAGTAGATTTTGTAGTGTGCAATGAAAAAAGACCAAATTAAATGTGTCAAGTTCAAAATTAGAAAGAGAGTGAAAAATTAAATGGGCAGAAAAGGCTGGCTAGAAAAGTTCTCTCAGATTAATAAAATACTGTAAGATACAAAAGTAAAATACTGCCATGGATCCCATGCATAGTGAAACAAATAAGTGTGAATTATTTATAGGGTAAACACAAATTAGTAAGAAGACACAAACGTTCCTAAAACACAATAAAACTACAAAAACCAAAATTATCCAAACAACAGTAGAGAGCTAGGAAAATTGAGGCACAGGGCAGGGGCAGTACAAAATTAAGTTAAACCACACAAAAATAGTACTTTCCCTTAGGTCATTACCTTAAAAACTAGACTTACAAGACACTGGTTCCAAATAACTACTCATAATTTCTAAAACACTCACAAAAATACTTGTAAACTCTCTTTATTACTCCCAACTGCTCAAATCCTTCACACAGGACAAAGACTTGCATTTAAGCACAAAAACACCAACAGGCCCAGTCAATGATATAACCATTTAATTAAACCTGAAACAGGAGGAAGTCTACAACACTGCAGACACAAGTTACATCACTGCCCCCCTCCCAGCAAGCATCATTATCTGCTCACAGGTTAAGCTTCTGTATAGCCCAACTCCTGTAAAAAGGTGTATGCCTTCATTTTGCCTTATGAAGTATTCCTTATGGTCTGCGACTTCTATTCTGAGATCTAGGGAAATGCACTATAATGAAGGATTTTTTAAAGATGGAGCCCAGTGATTGCTGGTGTGTGAAGCGACTGGATAAAGTAGAATGTTTAGTTTCCAACTTGAACTTTCATCCAATATTTTAGATTAATCAGAGCCTGTCTAATAGAGAGGTACAGTACCACTTCTCAATTGCAGGACCCTTTTTCCTTTACCCTTTCTCTTTGTAGCAATTTTAAGTCTTAAATATACAGCTGAGATTTCCTTGCTGGTATTCCTCAGGGAGAAGACTGCACCCAAACCAACAACTGAGGCTTATATGTGATTGAAGGAAGGGGATCCTAAGGATAGGTGCACTGATTATCGCATTCCTCAATGTGGAGAAGGTGTATTCATCTCTTAAGGCAAGCTTGAGCTTAGTTTTCATCCTTGTAACATTTAATGGAGGAAGGGTGATGTTGGGGAATCAGGTAATGAAATGTTGATATTAGATAACTAGGCCAGACATTATCCCACTCTTTTAATGGTGGTATAGTTGGGATATGAAAGGACAGCCTACACTTTTTCCACCCAAGGATAAACTGTGTGTCATTTCCCATGGTAAATCTGATATATTAGTCCTCAGTGCAAGCAAACGAACATTTGGTTTTGCCGAGTTAAGACAGCTTTAATGGATCTTCTGAAGCATGGTGTGGCAAAGGGATACATGGGCTAGCCAGAAGGAGATGATAATGTTGACTAAGGAGGCAGTAGAGAAATAATAATGGTCCAAAAGGATGTTGTCCATCCACCTTTGGGATGTGGAGGTGTCCCATGCAAAGTGCATATTAATAAAGTCTAAATGCATGCAGAAAGCAGTGAAAGGTTTTGCCCACTTAGTGAGTGGGACATGCCAATATCCCTTAATGAAGTCAATTGTTATAAAGTAATTAACTTTCCCTAATCTGTGAAGAAGCTCATGTGTATGATGTACAGGTAGCAGTTAAAGTAAAAAATAAAATATATATATTTATAATTCAGAAGACAGAATCTTCACAATTATCTTGAAAATCCAAACAGATTTACTTTGACTGGGTATGACCTGGTAGGGCTGCGTAGCATTGTCGGAATGTCTCGCATACAGCATGTCATGTTTGGCAAATTATGTACAAATTAAATCTCATGTTATCAAACTGGAAAAGCAGGATAGTAATATCATTCTCACTGCTGGGCTGTTCCATTCAATGTGTCATCATCACTTAGCAATGCCTGAAATAATCAGAGCACTTAGACAAGATAAGCAGTTATGGAAATCCACTCTCCTTCTCTGGAAATAAAGATAATTGAAAGTAATTTGCTGGCTTTGGAACAAGCATATGCAACACAATTCAAAGTATATTTTCTGAAAGTTCAGAGCCTCATATTATGTCATGCCATTATAAAATGTAAATGTAAACCTTTTAATTATTTGCATTAAAATAAACAGGAATGGATAAAAGGGCTATGGACATGCAAAAAAACAAAAAAAAAATTGAAAAAGTTAGGCATAAAGTTATGATTGCATTAAAGGTTTAAGTAATTCATCAGTAAAGCTGCTGTTCATGCCTAGCTAAAGTGTACCTAGGAAGCCAATTGTTTTTGTAGGAAGTGCATACACATATGAAGGTCTTACATTTTATTACAAGGTAGAGAAACTGGATGCAGACATGAAAAAACATTAACAAATCAAGTTAGTCCCTGAAGAATGCAATACACTTTTAAAACCAATCCATTCCACATGGGAATGTGAAGGCGGCAGCTGACTTTTCTTCAGTGTTCAGAGCCCAGTGATGAATCGCTGTGCTTTATGGCTGAAAATAACTTAAGATCACTGGTCTAAAGGTCTGGTGAATAAGATGGATGTGGAACCAGGTCAACTACTCTTTGAAGAATCCTTGCACCTAAGCAACCCAGTGTGGTGAGGCATAATTATGGCAGAAGCAAAACATTGACAGAGCAATATCTAGATATTTATAACCTGCTGGCAAAAATCATGTCATCAATACCTGAAAACACCTGTTATGGAATGCCATGGGAGGGAATGAGACCTCAACAATCCCACACCACAGCTGCCACCATCTTTCTCAGCTGGCCTCTACACAGAACATTTTGCCAGGGGGGAAGAGTGAAAAGTTGTCAATTGTTCCAGCAAATGCTTCCCCTTGTGGACTGCATCCATGCTTTGGCCATTGCCACAGAGGTGTTCACTTGCTGCGGTTATAATCATGATGAATGGGGTCATCGAGAATCATGTATAAAATTGATTGCTCAGAACCTTCTAATACAACTGAGGTCATAGTGATTTCTTCCACTGTTATTCTGCTAAATACCAATTTTTGCACATGCTGGATATTCAGCAAATAAAGTTTTCAAAGATGTCAAAGAGTTTCAGTTGCAGTTTTCATGTCCTTTAAACATCTGTACCCACCTGTGAACATTTTTCATATAAAAGCTGTACAGGGAAACCAACACATCATGTATACAGACAAAAATGCTATAGAAGGAAACCAACATACTGCACAGGGAGGCCACACTTGGTCTACTGAGATAACATACAGTATAAGGAAACCAACACTTTATGCAAGAAAAGCAAAATGCAGTATAAGGATCTCTAGTGAGACCAAAGAGTTGTAAAGAGAGCACAAATGCACTGCATAGAGACAACAAAATGCCCTATATGCACTGTGCAGAAAAATCAGTATAGTATAGTGTTGTTTTTTTTCTTTAGTCTTTAAAGGATGTATAACAGTATGTAAACTGGCACCCAATGGTGACAACACAAGCTGTTTTCTTTATCATTGCTGAAGAAAAACAACTGGAGACAGAATTCAAACAAAGAAATGAGCAGCTGCATCACATCCTGACTCTGGCCAAAAGCCTTCATTGTATCACAGCCCTCAAGTGCTGTGTCTGTTGCATCTGTGTGGGTGCGATTCCATAGAAGCTAGACAAAAATAATATATATCCCTCTAAATGTGATACTTTATCTGTCTATGGTTTATCTCACCAGTTACACAAATAAGGTGAATAAATGCCTTGACTGATTTATCATAATTCATCATCTTAAGAGAGTCAAAAAGTAATTTTTCTAAGGTTCTTTTTTAGGGCAGAAGCAAAAAAGTAAAATTACTGAAAAAAGGAAAAGGAATTCATATTATCATTCTATCTGCTTCACTATCATTAGTGATAATTAAAATGTTTACTGTACTTTGCAAAGCCCTGAAAGACATACCAATAATATCACATTTTGATTAAATATACTTTTTATCAAATTAACTGTTTTTATTTAAAAATGTAACATCCAAATTGAACATTGCTATGTATGAAGGAGGCTGAATGTCTTCTTAAGCTGTAAAGATCTAAAAAGTGAAATTTATAGTCAACTACTAAAGTGTTCAGCCCCTTAAGTCAGTAATTGGTAGAGAACCTATTGCAGCAAATGCTGTTTCCAAACTTTTGTGGATAGGTCTCTTCCATATTTGCACAGTGCAATGATAGAAATTTTGCCCATTCTTCCAGGCCAAATTATTCCAGTTTCTAGTTCTGACAAGTTTGTCAGGGATTACTGATGGACTGCACAAGTCTCGCCATAAAGTTTCTATTAGATTTAACTCAGGACTGTGAAACCCAAGGACATTAACTTTCTACTTTTCAAACCACTCCAGTTTGACTTTGGCTTTGTGCTTCGGACACTGCGTACATAAAATGTGATTTCCGATCCAGTTTTAGATTCTTGGGTGACTCAAGCAGGTTTTCTTCTAGGATTCACCTGCACTTTGCTCAGTGATCATTCAATCCTTGCTGATGAGAAGCATCCCCATAACATGATGCTTGACAAGCACCACCATGCTTGACAGTTTGTATGGTGCTGACTAGGAGATATGCTTGCACCAAATTTCATGCTTTGAATTCAGACCAAAAACACTTATCTGATCATTAAACTTTCCATCAACTGTCTGCAGTTTATCAAATACTAAAATTAATATACAGGTACGTATTTTTCATTAAGGCTTCTTTCTTGCATCCACTCATACAGACCAGGTTTCTGTAAGTACTGGTATTTTGATAATATATTTAAAGTGACTCTCATGTCAGACATTAGAAAGTCATTGCTGGCTTCACACTGGCATCTATAGCCAGTTTCCTGCTTTCCCCACTTCTCATGTTGGAATACTGTACTGACATAGTGTCTGTGTAGCATGACGCACTTTTTTTACCAACTACATGAATGACTTCTGAAGTGACCTCCTCCTGGTCTGTGCCTCTTTACTTTCTAAGTGCTGTCTTGTTTTGAAAGCTCCTTTGTCTTCTTGATTGAACTATCATTTAACTTAATCAGGAATAGATTGTGAGGATTCTAAATATAAAGTCCAGTTTGATAGTGTCATGATTCCAAGCTCAGACAGCAACAAAATCTGGAAATCTGGAAGAAGTTTGAATAATTTTGCAAGGCACCATATATAAGATTTTATTAATTAATATTTATAATCTACGATTATATTTACGACACTAAGGTACGCAAGACACAGATCCAAAAATGTAGTAATTTAAACCCTTCTTCACCAGTATGTACACTACATGTTGGTGCATGATGTACAACCTTATCCACAACAGTCAGCTTTTATCTGAGTACTCCCCTTCTTTGAGTTTTGGAAGAGCACTCCAGAACTTAACAAAAGCCTCAGACAATTTAAGAACTCCTTCTTTATACATTTGAAGTAAAAAAATCATATTATACGAGATTTTATTTTGCCCATCAATATTTATATATATATTTACTCACATTTATTGCATAGTTGTGTACAAGACATTACCAAACTGAAGGCAGCTGACACTGTGAACTCTTAGCAACCAGTCTAACCAGTTCAACAAAGGGTTGTTGCTAAACTTATGCTGGCAACTCCTTTTTACTGTTTTACATTGTAGCTACACAAAATCATACAAAGTTACTTTGAAATTTTTCACAGTACTTTTGCTACCACGCTAACTAGAGTAAATCGTACTGCTCAATGCAGGGTGAACTCCACGAACGTCTTTGGCATGACCTTGTGAGCATGCACTGTTAATTCTCATAGCATTTTATGGTTTAGGAATTATAAGTGCTAAATTCCATAAAGGAACTTAAAAGATATATTTAAAATGTTAAATAAGTAATTTTAATTAAAAATTCCATCTGAATTTTCCTTTTTTAAATTTGATACTTACAGTGTACTCTGCCACAACTCCTTTATAAACTTCAAAAAATTCTTCAGCATTGGCTCGATCCATAGTGAACTGAAAAAAAGAAAAGAAAAATGTATGACAACACAATTGCTTTTCAACTCTATTATAAATAAGTATTTTCGGATCTAGAAGACCTGAAAACTGTATTTCATCTATGATATGCTAATTAATGTGCTGTGTAAAGAAAGACATTACATTCCAACAGAATTAAAAAAGTTAGAGAAGGCCACACAAAACAAATCAGGAAAAAAATACTAATGAAAACTAAATATTTTGGAATTTGAAAAAGCCAATTTCAGGGATAATGTTCATTAAAGAAACTACAAAATTACACTCCTTTATGAGTATTATAAACACTGCCTGGGCACAAACCCAGCTCTCCAGTGGCACTTGCCAGCAGAGCTAAAGGAGACCTCCCCCAGCCCGGCCAGTGAGATCCCTGTTATACGCAGGGGTGTATTCGTTACGATTAGGTGAGTCTAAACTGTGTGTACAATAGATTAAAATGAGTACTTGAAAATGAAACACCTGTTAAGGAAGGTGAAATTCAGTTCAACGCGATTTCTTAAATTAAAGTTTTTTTTTTCTATGTAAAAACATCCAGCACAAATATCCAATATTTAACTCTGCCAGCTTCCGTTGAAAGAAAAGCAGAAGTAACAATTACGACATACAGGCATAAAACGGCAAACATTGCACCCAGGCTAGCAAGGTAGCATGATGAGCATTCATCCTGTATCAGTAAGCTGTTCATCCTGGTGCTGACCCAGTCTTTGGACTGTGGGAGGAAACCCACCCCTCCACTCAGAGGCAACCCATGTGAACACAGGGAGAGGTACAACCTCCAGGTCCAGAACTGAACTCAGGGCCCCAGCGTTGCGAGGCAGCAATGCTAATAACTGCATTAACTAGATATTAAGTATATGTCTAACAAAAATGTCCTGAATTTAAAAACATTTTTTTAAAAGAGTAGTCAGAAGCATTCCAAGCAATATATTTATGTTATTATTAGAAATGAATTATTTAACACTAAACATGACTAGCTGTATGCATGAGAGTGCTCCAACACGTAAAGACACAAAGACTTGAAATGCTAGTACTGTATTTCATGGCCATAACATTTTTAAATTAAAATATCAACATAATCTAAAACATCTGTGCTATCTTGCTGGTACGGCTGTACTATCTCTGCCGGGTGGAGTGGTGGCTCTGTGGCTAAGGATCTACGGTTGTGAGTGGAAAGTTGCTGGTTCAAACCCCACAGCTGGCAGAGGAATCCTACTCCATTGGGCCCCTGAGCAAGGCCCTTAACCCCAGCTGCTCCAGGGGTGCTGTACAATGGCTAACCCTGCACTCTGACCCCAAGCTTCCCTGCCTGTCTGTGTCTCATGGAGAGCAAGCTGAGGTATGTGAAAAGATGAATTCCTAATGCAAGAAATTTTATAGGGCTAATAAAGTGATGTTATGTTAAAGGTTTTGCCTAATTTATTCCTGTAGTAAAAACATTTGAGCCCACTATTCAGATAACACATTGAAGTCTACATTCTATATGAGCATTCTTCTACAGATTTCAACACTCCTGACCATAACAAATAATTATTGTGCATTGTCCAAACATTATACATTTCACCAGAGGTTCTGCAAATCAGATTATTTGCCAGTGTTCCCTATATTAGGGCTATATTGATTTCTTGTGGATTTATAAAGTGTATACGTAATAACATCAAAGAAACAGAACCAGTTCAAGAAATAAAAAAAAAACAGAAACACCCTTGCACTGCCCAATATGTAGACTGGGTACAGCTATGCGTGTATAAGCTTCAACATTTGTAAAGGTTCTGACAAAAGACTGCAATTCTAGTGTGGTTTGTATCACATAGTGATTCAAGTAAGGTTGTAAGGTTCTATGGTGTCCATCATTAGCTAAAAAACATTAATGCACACAAATCAGTTATGCTCCTCTATACAGATGAAACAACTGTTAAATCAGTGGTTTTATTTGACGGTGTTAAATGTTAATGTCCATATGCTAACAATTCACCTCACAGGTGCTCGATTTGGCTATAATCGATTCAGTGATAAAACCTATTTATCTTTCTTGCATGTGCAAATTCACAGTTGTTTTTTTTTATCATGTCTCCTGTCATAATTTCTGCCATTTCATAGCCGCAAGGTAAAGAGGAGTGCAAATGTATAATTAAGCTCCAACATTTTCTACAGACACGATCTCGCAATGTTACACTCTACTAATTTTATTAGCTAGTGCTGCATACTTGAAATTATTAATAAAGGATGAAAAATGAGCTGTTTCTGAAGTGTTTTTTGTATAAGATTTTTTTCCATGTTAAGATGAAATGAGTTAATGACATAACCTTAGGACATTTAACCTTGGCTAGAGATGCAGTCTCATACTATTTGTGTCTTTCCAGCACTTCTCTGCCCCCCTTGTCTCTTGTCATTGGTCTGTGGTGTCCAAAGCTGGGCGATGCTCTGACAGCACAGGATCCAGCACTGTTGATTAGTATAAGAGACTGTCTGTTCAGGCAGTCTGTTCCATGAGAGTATGACTCATCTCTGCAGATATTTCTTGCTGAAGCAGAGAAAGCCCCAGCCAGCACCTTTAGAAGCACGCTGTTCTCACGATCTTTTAATACATGGCCAGCAAATGTACTGTATATTACCTGTCCCAGTTAACACTCATGAATGATTTGCAAAACAAGCAAGGGAGATTAAAGGCAGGAAGATAAACAAATCTAAAATACATTCTTTTGTTGTAGTTTTCTCTTAGACAAAAAGGCAATTTTACAAAGACTTTTGACAGTGAGTAAAATGCCAAGTAGAATAATGTGTAGATTAAAAAATACAATACAAACAAAAAGAAAAACCTAAGAAAAGTCCAATTAAACCTACACTGATGTATCATTGAAATAGCAATTATACAGTATACTGTCATTTTAGTCTAACAACAAACAATACATCCTAGTATATCCATAAAGAACACTGTATATTTAGGGAGCTTTCTGCATTAATTTCTTAACCATAAGCTAGAAACTGTCTCATGCCAAAAGTACTGTATAAGCAAAATACATTAGATGAAGACCAAAAGTAAGAAAAAAAAGTAATACATTTTAAACATCTAAATTAAAGGTTTGTGTTTTTTATTAAAGGAACTCTAAAGATTTACCTATCAAATTAGTATTTGAGTTCCAAACCAAAGGGAATAAGAATGTAATATTTGTGTATAACAGGTACAATGCAGTGGCTTCCTTAAAGCAACAAATTCAATCTTTTGTTCAACAGTACAAAGTGCTGCACTTCAGTGGTGAACAAAGTGGGTCCTGTCTATACAAGGGGGACTTTGGGAATGTTCAGAAAGAAAAAGTTCTTTATAAGCACACAAATAATACATAATAAATCCAATTCTTTAACAAACTCAGGCACCATAAACACAACTTGTATAAAAATTACCCTACGTTTAAAGCACAATGCTTTAAATACAGTTAAATAGATTGGTATCTATTTAACTGTAGATACCAAGATCATATACGTAACATACATGTGTGAATATACAACACCACTGTCTAGTGATTTCTCTAGGAGATCAAAACACCCAAACCTAGTTAAACACAGAAAGACATGGCTGCCCCATAGTTTTCTCACAGCAAAGCACCCAGATTAACAGAAGCTAAAATGTGATATCACATCTTCAGCAGGTGGAATGTGCAGCTGCACATAGTAACAATGTGAACTATCCTGCTGAACAGCTTATGCAGCTTGTTCATATACTGTAGGTCAGCACGTACTTGAGCCGGCATTATAAATGACATACTGTCACAGAATCTCCTTGTTTCTTTCGAGATCTTTTTTTATTTTGAAGAGGAGGATATTTTGGACTTGTACACGGAACTTAGAGGAATTCTACGGCAAATCTGGAAGTCATGAAGCACTGTCAACAACTGGTCTATTCATGCACATCAAAATCAGCCTGTCAAAAGAAATCACACGGTGAACTATTAACTGTTTGTGTGCTTTAACAGTGGAAATACCACACATTACAGAGCTGCCATGGGAGACCCACTCAGGCCACTGGTCTGAATAATTACTCTCCAGGCAATACAGGCGAAACCTGGCAAATAAAAATCAATAAGGGTCAGACCATGTGACCTGAGTAGCATGTGATGGGGACAGTAGGGGGAGGAGTTTCCACTAATCCAGTGCATTTCAACTGTGCAAAATCTCATGCATCCACTGCAAAGTTACTTGATTAACTGTTGCCAATGATTAAAAGAAAATGAAAAGGCTAAACATTTGAATCATCTGTGTTAGTTCTTTCATTAAAATCAATGTTTTCTTTCTTAATTTTAAAGTGCTTTTTCATCGTAAACACCATCTAAAAAAGTGGAGTACAATTAAGAATATAACCTTAAGACAGGTGGTCATTACAATTATTATTATAAATGTAGATAATTTTAGATTTACACATACATGTGCACTTTATATATTCAAAAAAAACTTACAGAGGGCTCCAAAGCTTTTTGATACAGAATACACTGTCTGAAAGTACCTGAAACCATTTTTGGTGCATAAACTAGTACGTTTCAGCATATGGCTCTAAAAGACATGTTTTGTTTCAGTGTAACACTGGTAAAAGTAGTACACTGATTGGGTCTGCAGAGGCTCCACATAGTGGAGCAACTGAGCAATGTCTTTCAGTGTGCCCCAGTCAGACTGGAGAGAGCTGCTGCCTTTCTCACACTGAGGATTTGACAGCAGCAATGGTCACCTAGCAACAGTGTAAAAACTCTGGGCTGGAAGCCACACCAGTTCATTTTACAGATAATATTTAGGAACTGGTTTGTGTCCCTTGTCTGGATCCTTTTTTAAGAACATCTTTATATAGTGTTGATGAGTCACTTGTACTTTAACCTTGACATCATAATAAAACATCATCATCATTACAGAAAAATATTTTCTTTTTTATTTACATTGGGCATTAACTAAGGAATTCTGATCCGATACTGAATGGTACAAATCCCTGTTCTGAGCTTCACTGACCCTTGATCCTTGACTGTTTAAAGAAGCTGTGTTGTTATTAACACAATGAAGGTTATTTTATCGTTTATTTAAGATGTGCTGTAGAAATCATTTTTAAGTGACAAAAGAGAAGACAAAGCAGTTTAGAAATACCACTGAGATTCAGCTTTGCAGCAGGAACAACACTTTTAAAAAAGTGACATGACCTCAAAGAAGACAAGAATGCAGTTGTATTAAGAAACAATAGCTTTAAAAAAAACTACGATGGCTGTGCTGTACCAGATACATGATGGTTACCTCTACTAATAGTTTAAAAACAGACTCACTTTCTTGAAACGGTACAATGTATACCACATACAATTGCATAAAAATCTTTTTTATGGAGGATGTTAATATTTGGTGCCACAAATATCAAATAAGTAGGATACCAGGGTTTTTGCATTTTGGTGACATATAAAACTCCAAATCCTTAGCTAAATAGCAACCCCCCCCAAAAAAAATATTTTTCCTACTTTTAGACTCTCTCACTGATCCTTTAATAATACTGTACTTTGAAAAGTGTGCTGATTGCACTCTGCTCTGATGACAAAGGACAGCCAATAACACACTAGGAGGTAGGTTGGGTGCAGCTCTGGATGTAAGAGGAGAAATCTCAGAAGGAAACAGGCACAGGCAATAGGGCTCAGGTGGGAAACTTTAATCAAAAAACAACAAGAATCACAGAAGGTGTTTTGTGTACAAAAGCTGAAAACAACACTTTTTTTTTCTTTTTTTTTTAAATCAGGTCACGTAATTTAGATCAAATTTATATATGAGGAGTATGAAATAATAAAATGTTTGCCTGCTGGTGATGCTGCTGATGTTGCATTACAAACCCAATTATTGAACACATTTATTTGAGTCATTACATATAAACCTACAAAAAACCCCAAATAACCACATTTTAAATTTATGATAACAAATACTGTTAGTTGTCCTCCTATGAAATCATCAGTCTTTTGAGAGTGCCGACTTGTTTAGGACTGTAGAGTGAACCAACGCATAATTTTAAACATTAAAGCCTAAGCTGGTAATTGCTTTCTGGCCTCACTGCTTAAGAAGTGATAATTTGGTGGTGGAAAAAAAAAAAAAAACAGAAAAAAGGAAAAAGGGAAAATTTGTTGGTTGTAATAGGTTTTACAGTGTCGGGCTGATAAAGAACCACATTTTGGAAAGTTGATAAATTTTAATCAAAGGAAAAAGCATTGAAGTAACATTAAATAAATCAAGCAGAAAACCAGGTGTTTCATTCAGGACCTAATGAAAGGGCAACTGAACACAAAATCTATTGCTTGAAAGTTGAAATCTAATAAGCTATCTTACTGTATGATTTCTAAAACAAGTTAAACAAAATCAATATTTTAAACAGCTTCTAATGTACAAACCTTTAGCTTATAAAGCCAGATTATAAAACGAAAACTACACTGCATGAATTTACCACTTAGTTTTGTGACTGGAGTATGTAAAGTGTTACCTGCAGCTAGTTAACATTTCAAGAAGTTTAATGTTTTAATGAGTGTTTTTCATGCATGAAAGACAAGGGAAAGCCATTACAGTATGTAATTCTTTCACAAGCATGAGCATTTGTCAAACATGTCTTTGCCTGTTGGAGAATACAAAGGGTAAAAAAGTTTAGTCTGTACATCAATGGGTACAATATTCACACACCACAATGTGATGTATTCACATCCACAGTGACTTTGCTTTAGTTTATATAAGCCATGCATCTCGATTGAAGACGTTATGACACTCTTACCATTTGTAAAGCTGAAATTTCAAATCCTGCTTCACCAATAGCATTCAGAATCTTCCCAGTTAGAGCTGTCAATAAAAAGAAAAACACAATATTTAAATCTACAAAATACCGGTACATTTACAGTTTGTACATTAGTACAACACTTTTTTAGTGTCCATGGCAATAAGCAGATATGTTTCTCACCAAACATCTTACTTATTAATTACATGTCAGTAATTATGACCTGAAGACATGAATAATTTGTATGCATTATTATTTTTAATAAACATCAGTTCTATAGAATATTACTTCCACATTGCTTTACTTGAGCAGGTCATACCAAAATCTCCAATTATGTCTGCTGCATCAAAGTTTCCATTTTAGTGGAAATGTTTGTAGATCTAGTTAATGTTTTTCTTAAAATCCTCATTCACCTCTTCTGTGCAATTCATCCTCTTTCTGTTCTTGACCCAATCTCAGACCCAATCTCAGATGGAATATTTGATTTTACCAAAATCTATGAAACATTTTATTCAAATTCTTCAAAACGCTTGCAGAAAAAATAATATCAATTTACACAAAAGTTATGTTGTATTGCTTAAATAGAAACAGCTTGAAACACCAGAGCGCACATATTTGCTTATCTTTCTGTAATAAGCCACAATGATAAATTAATTTAATCTTGAATTTTATTACTAAGTACACTGGTATTGACAAAAACTTATATAAAACTTCTAGGCACAATGTGCATCGGAAGAAATCTAATACTGTCAGAAGGCACATAAAACCATCTTGAATGGCATGTAGAAATGGAACATGGAAGTTGTCACCCACTATTACTTTATTTGATTTTAGCAGTTTAGTCTATTTAATAATTAGTTATAAACATCAATTTAGTTCATTTTGATTTTGAAGAAAGAGGAACATAGAAGAAGACAACTGAGTTTTATATAGCATAAGGGTATGTGAAAAACAATACATTCACTTTGTTTGTTGTTAACCAGAGATTGAAATAGATTTTAGTCTATTATAGAGTGAAATCCTGTCCACATGTACAGATAGAAAAAACAATCACAGCAATGAACAACGCAAACAGCATAATGAGGTTAATTTACACCTATACAAATCTGACTAGTGTTATAGGATATTACATGAAACTTTATTGTTTTAGTGATGATGTAATTCAAAGATGTGCTAGAGCTTTTATTAGTGATTTAGTGTGATACTTCCCTATGTCTGAATTGGCAGAAATCCTGCTTTGTTTACATTTTCTTCAAAGTTGAGTTGAGATTCTGCAATTTGAACTTAACATGTGTACACATATTCTGTCTGGCCCTAATCATATTCCACAACGAAGCTAATCAATGCATTTCTTAGCATACCAATGGCAATAATCTCAGCACCGTTGTAAAACTCAAAATTCATCTGCTTATTTGCAGATACTGTTCACTTGATGAATAATGTTTGGCAGCACTCCAAGTTTATAGCAGGATATATAATCTGCAAAAATATATTGTTTTTAAATTATTAAAGATTACTACATTTTCTCAAAGTGGATAATGAGTCTCACAATATATCTAAGGGTTTCTGCTAAGGTCAGCAAAGGGCGCATACAGATAAGGCCCTAGACTGCTCTATCCGTAAGGATGTGAGTTCCTGCTATGAGTCAATGGATATTTCCATCGTTCACGGTCTGTTTCAAAAGAGCCTCTTGCAGGCAAAAGTCTCACACAGGATAGTTTTATCTGTTCATAACCATAAACAGTCTATTCTTAGCAGGATGATTGCACACAAAATTAATTTGGCTTATATTAAAGGAAAGTGAAATGTGTCAATCCCACCCCGTCAATGACACCAAATATCTCTTTCTAGCCCCAAAGAGGCAAAAAGTATCAAATCTATAAAACTGAATTCACATTTTTTCTACCTAAAGAAATATTTTGATTGTCCAAGAAATTGTAATGATTTGCCTAGGGCTGAAATGCACTTGCAGAGCTTTTCACAAACAGATGTAAACACCTTTTCTAATTAAGTCATTGTTATGTTAATGGTCTTAAAAACAAAGCATAAAAATTCACTACAGTGTTTTCAATGAAAACAGACTGCACAGGTTCTAGTAAAAAATACACAAATCAAATTCTGAAGATGCATTTCTGTAAGTCGTAAAGCTGAAGATGGATTTCTGTAAATCGTAAAGCTGAAGATGGATTTCGTTGTAAAGTCCTTGTCTGTTTCTTAGATTTTGAAGCACCTTCAGATGTGCTTAAATGTCCATATGATCCAATACATTGGATAAAAATATGACCTCTAACCTTATTAACCGTATTAAGATATCATATGCACACACCTTTTACAGTGTATAAAGTGTATATACTGTATGTATATTTAAGTGTATTGTCAAGCCTTGTTTATTTCAACATGATTCTGGAATACAAACATATTGTGCCAACAAGAAAATAAACACAGTACTTTGACATCATTCAGCTCTGAAGAGGTAAACACTGATGGGAGCCACCAGTGTCATGAAATGTGCTGGGAAGGTTATTCAATGTCTGCTTCTCCCATGGAACAACTTCCTATTTGTATGGTAAGAGAGCAAATCAATCTACCTTCCTGAGGCTGTTTCACCTTCCATTGAGAGACCTCATACAAAGGTGTCCAAATATATGAAACTCTCTCCACTGGGTGCTTCGTTTTCCCAAGCAAACGCATGACTTAAAGATTGCCAGGAAGCAGGAGTATTTTTATAATCTGAACACTTCATTAATTTTTTCTTTATAGTAGGTTTACATCTTTGAAACATATGAAACGTATTTACTATACATCAAACTTTGCTTTCTAGTGCTTATTCTTCTGGATTATATTGGTTCTTACTCAGCCTGTACAGGTTAAGTTAAAGTTAACATAAAATTCAATAATAAATAGGACTTTTTTGCATCACAAGGGACCTTTAACGAAATTAGGTGTAAATGTGACAACAAACATATGAGAAGTGCCATTGCCATTAACTTACCCCAGACTACATTGCCATTGTTCACAAGTAACATGCATTTAAAAAACAGAAATATAATACAGCATTAATCACTCAAAAATGTGATTCAACTAAAAAAGAATCAGAACTTCTGAAACCAAACCTTACTAAGTTTCATTCCTATCATCATGTTACCAGTCAGCGCTACTTGTCCTGTAACCTCTCAGCAATTTTTAATTAGGTGAAAAGATGAGCTTGTTGTGTAAACTGACCTTTTTTTCTCCACACATGGATTTCAAAGGGTACTTTTTTTTCTATCTAAGCTATAGATTATATGGAGTGGCTTGTATAATGTGGGAAAACTAAACAACTGGCATTACAATGCATCTTTATTGCACAAACTTTGAAATATCAAAAGAGAATAAAATAAGCAGATAGACCATAGGTCTCAATTTCTACTGTTTTAGGAGCTAATGTTACAAAGGACATTACATTCTATTTTGTAATGATCATGATCAGCAATACAATTGCTATTATTATAGTTGCTGTTGTTTTATTATAATAATACTAATTACTATATATATAGATCATGAGAGTTAAGCCAAGTTAGTTATTATTAATAACTGCTCCTCAATATTATATATCTGACAGATATATCTAACAGTCTTAGCTGTTATTTTTCCTAGTCTACCTACAGTACAACTGAAAAGAAAAAAAAAACAAAACATACATGTATACCTGTAATTTACAGGATGCATTTATGTTATCAGATTCAATTTCAGGGTGCTTAGGTTCACAAATTGCACCATTGCCCTAAACCAATAACATTACTGAAACCTATTTGCTTAATTGGATGCTATGACAATACTCAGTTCAGCTGATGATAAACATCTGCAGAGCCAAAGGCAAATTATGGCTACCCTTGTTCTGCCAACTGGTGTCTGTCACACCCTCCAAACTGAACCAAAAATATAATCTGGTACAGTTTTACCAAACAGTCACTTTCATACAACTTCCTTTTAAATGCAACTACAGTGTTTTTCAAAATTAATAAAGAACATTGGTGTTTTTGTGGTAAGAGTTAATGTTATTAAGTGTAATTAAAAAAATAATCTTGCAGGAGATAACTCTAGGTTAACTAGTATAATTCTAGGATAACTAGCCTACATCAGACTGTCAATGACTAATCAGTATAACCTGTGGAGATAACTAGAAGCTGAAAAACAAATGATGATTGAAAAACGGAGTAGGTCTTAGGATCTGGAACCTGGAGGAAGGCTTAAGGTTTAAAACCCTCAAAGGACACTGTTTTTCTCCTGAAAATGCTTTGTGGCATAAATAGGTATACTTCAGGTAGTCATTGTTCATTAGAATTTGTTTTCAACTGAGCTTTCTGATTGACAAACTTTTAACAAAGCAAAGGTACAAGTAGCACAATGTATTGTCTTAATAGCACTTATGAATTGCCCTGGATTGCCTAAAATGAGTGAGCAAACATAAAGCAGACATGATGATGAAAGCACATTCGATGCAATTTACAACTGTTTATTACATAGCTCTGAAGACAGACTCTGACTAGACATTCATGAAAACAGACAGAAACAAGGCTTGGCAAAAACTGCAAACTGCATTATGAATCTGACAGGACATTAGCGAGACTGATGCTCCAAGTGAACAGCATACAATAGCACAATCACATATCAGTGATATAAAATTAATTTGCATAATCTGGGCTGTGCCCAATTAACTGCCTTGACACACTGACACATCTTTTAGCCAGTTCTGACAAATAATGTTATAACTTAGTGGCCAGCAAAAATTAGGATTAGTTTTATCAGGAAAAGAGTGGCATGGATTTTGAACCGATATCTTAAAAAATACCCGAGCTGAAACAGTGTTCTCAAAATAGCCATAAAACATCTACGATTTATGTGGTTTAATTTGAATCATAATCTATTTAGGCAATAATTCTAATTTGATGTTAGAAGTGTCACTTCCTAGAATAAAGCAGGTACAGAAGCTTCAGCTTTACTAAATCCTGCTTTAAATCTACTTATAAACCAGTAGGAAAGAGAGGATAAGTCACAAAAGAAACTGTAGGTGTGATGAAATTAT